TACAGCTAGTCGGTGGCAGGATGGCATTGGCAGCCCGCCTGAAGCTGAGCTTCAAGGTACTGGCACAGAGGCTGCTGGTTAACAATGCTGACGGATACGTTTATACAATCAGTTTGAAACTGTATTTGTCTTTACCGTAGGATCCATGTACCCCACCAGCATGCGTATCAACGAAGAGGGCCGTCTGGTTGTCAACTTCAAGACCGAGGCTCGTTACAGGGGACAGTTTGTTATGTCTCATCCAGGTAAAAAAGAGTGCTGCTCACACACACCCACGCCCTAAACCTGTCTGCTGGGGTCATTCTATACATGCAGTCCATATTAGATTACCCAGTTGCCCACATCCACACTTCATCTATTTCTGGAGTTCCTCACTGGGGGTTTCTTCCTGTGTTAAAGTGCCAAAGGTCATCTCAGCAAATGTCAAAATCACCCTGTAGTTTTTACTGTTCGGAAGCAAGTGGTACGAACAAAACACAAGGTCACGCTTTAAATAAAAGTAAAGAGCTGTAGAGAGAGAGGGCGGAAAAAAGGCAAAAGCTCTATACGCTTGTATGTGTTTGTTTCCAGGAACCAGCATGGCGTCCATGGTAATATGTGCTGACCACCCCGGGCTGACGTTCACTCTCGCCCTGGTCAGGACTGAGCCCACCTATAACCAGCCCATGCAGCAGTGGAGTTTCGTCTCAGACTTTGCTGTGAGTCGTTGTACAGGAGAATCTTCCTGATGTGACGGAGAATTCCTAAAGTTGTTCCCACTGACCTAACTCTGCTCCCATCTCTGTAGGTGAGAGACTACTCTGGCACCTATACAGTCAAGCTGATCCCTTGCATTGCCTCCCCCAATGGAGAGTTCAGCATCCCCCCTGTCTGCCACCCAAGAGAGCCGGTGACCTTTGACATGGACATACGCTTCCAGCAGGTCAGACTGAACTCGGACGTGAACACTGAAAATCCCATTTTCAATCCATAGAAAAGCTGTCTTCTTACAGGAGGCCATTTATATTCTTATTCGATGTAATGTGCTGTAATGTTTATATTATTTTTTTATCATTATTTGTTGTGCGGCCCAGGTCAGTGACCCAGTTGCAGCTGAGTTTAGCCTCAACACCCAGATGTACCTCCTGTCCAAGAGGGAGCTGTGGTTGTCTGACGGCTCCATGGGCTTTGGAGAAGGGTCAGATGCTGCTTTCACAGAAGGTACAAAGCTGTCACCTACTGGTGGAAAAAAGCATTACACCCGATTGACCATACTCTTTATGAAGAGCGTTTTATTTATGTCCCGTTTTATTAAGGCTCCTCCATCTACGGCCGTGTGATGGTGGACCCAGTCCAGAACCTCGGCGACTCATTCTCCTGCAGCATTGAGAAAGTCTTCCTCTGCACGGGAGCAGATGGTTATGTTCCCAAATATAACCCCACAAACAAGGAGTACGGATGCCTGGCTGATGCTCCAACTCTGCTGTACAGGTTCAAGATCTTGGTAAGCTGTGAATCAGTTTACTGAGCCAGAGGTAGTGGATTAAAAAAATAGAAGTTTGACTCAAATTCTCTGTGCTTGTTATTTTGCAGGATAAGGCCCAGCCAGAAACTCAAGCTAAGGCATTTGGGGATGTTCCTTTTAAAGCCACACTGGCACATGAGACGCCTGGAGCTCTGCCTTTGGTCAAACAACCTGGAGCCGACGGTTTCACCCTGTCTTCATCTCCACTTTTCCAGGTCTTGATTTCAGTATTTGACTTTCAACCAGAGCAGTTAAAATGTATGCATCAAATAACTAGACTTAAACACAGAAGGAAAACTCTCTCATGTCCATGTCTTCGTCCAGGTTGCTGCTGGTCGTGAGTGGTTCATCCATACTATCTACACCGTCCGCTCCAAGGAAAATGCTAACCGAAACATTGGCAAGCGCAGCGTGGAATACCTCCACCACAGCGTGTCCTCTTATGTGCAGCCACATCAGACATCGGACGGAGCCTCTCGCCGCCGCCGTGCAGCCCCTGCCCTGCCCGGCCCTGCCCTCGCCGAGGACATCGGCGTGGATAACAACCGTGGCACCAACATCCAACACATCGCTCTGGACCGGGCAGATCGCATGGTGGTCAGCCAGCGCCAGCCCTGGTCCCCCAACCATGACACTCTCCTAGATCGCCCCCTGCTGGAGAGTTCTGGCAGAGAGCCTGCTGACACATCCACCCTGCCCATGTTAGTAGGCCTGGCAGGTCTGATCCTCCTCATCTGCCTAATCGCCACCATCGTCATTCTCCTGCTGCGGCGTAAGAAGAAGAAGGAGAAGAGCGACCAGTTTCCTCCCTACAGCACCTCCTCCTCCTCCGCCTACAACGGCTACAGCCAGGGCTCAGCGGGCATGTGGAGCAGTTCAGACAGCTCTGAGGTCTAGATGTGGCCCTGCTGACAGAAACAACTGCCCACCATCTCGTGACTATACCTTCTTACTCACCACTGTGCCTTCACTGCCCTGCTGTTGTCGCACTGAGGGGCCGAGAACAGCCTAGTACTCGATGTTAGTGCTCGGGGCCCACACGCAGAGATTGCTCCAGTATTCTGAAGCTCTGTGATCTCTGGCGAGGCGTAGTCCTGGCTGTAACGTTTCATTGGCAATTGTCTTTGCAGCCTAATCTGATTCATGGATGTACTTATATATTATCTGCTCAATTGTAGGTCAGGTAAAATGTCCCACATGTAAATATTATCTGCTCGATTGTAGGTCAGGTAAAATGTCCCACATTATCAGAGTGCATGTAAAATCCCACGTAGTTCATACTTTCTGTTTCTCATTTAAAGAAAATACATAGTTTACTGAGTTCCTTTTTTTTTATAATTGTATTTCACTGTTCACTATGTCGTGTAGAACAATTTGACTGAATGTCAGTTGAGGTTGACCTTAACGAATGATCTTCTATTAATGCTGTGTCTTCTGTTGCTTTAATACTGTAACTGCCCGGTGCTGAGGTAACTCCACATCTCTGATGTCACGTAAAAGGTCTTGTAAATGTTGTAATTCCCTTTTCAACCACATCTTTCAGGTTAATGCGGTTAAAGCAGATAGAATCGAATCTGTATATATATGAACGCTGGACTATCAAAATAGGTATTAGACCCTGGTGAAACTTGAGGAAACCGATGTACGACATATTTCTAATTTTATTTTATTAATCCAACAATGCAGTATCAAAAACCTACATATTCCTCTACTGGTGACAGTGTATTTCAATGTACCACTTATTTTGATTTTATGGCCTATTAATTATTGTCACTTGGATGTTTATACACTTTAACTGCCAAATACAAATGTCCTTTTTTTTGAATCTGTGTCTGATTTGATTTTTATTTTGTTTTATTGTCGTAAGACAGTACGCGTCACATAGGAAGGTGAAATGTTTTATTATAAAAAAAGGTACATATCATTTCGAGCAATGGAATGTAGTACAACCAACATAAATACAAACATTTTGACAAAATACTAGTTTAAAAAATTGTACTAACAAATGAACAAACTACTAAACCTGCACAGGTGCAGAGTTTAGCTCAGTGACAACAATGCAGGCTTTAAGAGAGGACTCCTAAGAACCTAATACAACCAGATCAGTCCATCGGGGAGATTTACAGAGTATTTTTTATTTTAAAACCACGGCCTGCTCAACAAACACAGACACTAGAACTAACAAGACCAGATCTGACAACATGGGCTGTAAGCCGCTTCACAACTTGAGTTTTTTCTTGCGTCCTCGCCCTTCTGGGGTTCCCTCTGGCTTTCGTTTCTGAGCCTGAAAAAGAAGAAACAAAATTAAATACATGCAGCATATTCTTGATTAAATTCAAACAAGACACTGCAAATAAACAACAGCGGACACTTACTGAGCTGGTCTTTGGGCCCCTCTTCTTCTTCTCTGCCTTCTCTCTCTCCTCCAGCTCCATGTTCTCTCTCTCTATTAGTGTGATCAGTGTGTTGCATCGCCTCTGAAGCTCCTGTATAGAAAGTGAAAAAGGAATTTTAGAAACACCAGGTCATTTTTAAACAATTGACTGACAGAAAGAATTCAAACTCACCATCGCAGTCCTGGACTTGAGGAACCAGTCGAAGCGGAACTGAGGCGAGTTACGGATGCACTGACGCAGCTCATCGTAAACGCTCTCCTTGTCGAAGCCCAGCTTGTGAAGCATACAGATGAGGAAGCGATCTTCCTCCTCTGTGTAGTTCTTGCCTTTGTTGGTGCCGTAAGAAATGCGAAGCTGATGGAAAGGAGCCTTATAACGACCAATCTGTGCGTGGAGAGAAATACAAAAAACAATCATATTAAAAACAGGACTGGCCACAGAATTAAAAAAATTATATTAAAGAGCCTGTTTTCTCAGTTACCACAGAATTAAAAAATATATATATTAAAGAGCCTGTTTTCTCAGTTACCTTTGAGTCAAGTGCTTTCTTGATGCTAATCCTCCTCTGAATCCTGGCCTCTCCTCTCTCTATCTGGGCCATGATCTTCTCAATGTCCTGCAGCTCATTACAGCGCTCCCAGAACACAGCTGCAGGTCCAAACACAAACATCACCACACTGAAGACCGACTCAGGACAGAGTTACCAAAAACTCAACAAGAACGAGTCTGTACCAGAATATTCCATGACTTCTTCTGGTGTTTTTCCTTCCACTTCTCTGGCAATGTTCTCGATATCATCTCTGCCCCACTTCTCATTGGCTTTGATGAACTGGTTGAAGTCACGCTTGTTCCAAATAGTAAAACCCTACGTAACGAGAATTCTTGGTCAGAGCTTGCCCCAGAAAATGTACAAAAAAATAAACATTGAATAACATCAGATCAACAGTCATTTACCTGTTGTAGCAGGTTCTCCTTCTCCTCCAGCTCTTCCTCCGTCAGAGCCTCGGCCTCATCAATCTTACCCTGCTCCTCCTTCTGCACCTGAGCCGAGTTTGACACGTCTGGGTTACGAGGAACCTGGAGAAACAAAAGCCACAGGTTTGACAGCCGTTCTCTGACAAACCAACAGCAGAACTACTTTGATGAGAACGCCCTTTGTTGTACCTTGTAGCCTATGGTTTTTCTATAGAAAAGAATCTCTTTTTCTAGGAGCTCAAAGAGCCGTGGAGGGAAGAACTGGAAGTCCTGCACGTTCGGCTGCTTTGGAGGACGAGGAGCCTTTACAGTGGAGTGAAATAGACAAACGTCATGAATGAACACAGGTAACCTGGCAGTCACCGTATGAAAACCAGCTTTCATTTATTTCATCCAGTCTTACCTTGGGTGCCTTGGGTTCACTGACACGCAGAGCTTCTCTGAAGTAGGCATCCACCGCGTAGTTGGCTTTCCTTTCTCTCTTGGGTGGCTCGATCCAGTTGGTAATAACCTGTAAGAAAGAGACAGTGGAAGATGGTTCAAATCCAAAGGTCCATGAAGTCTGACAGGGAAGTGAAAGCTCAATAAGAATGATGTTGTGTTTTGTGTACCTTCTTCTTTTCTCTGTAGTCTTCCCCCTCAAACGTGTACACGCTGCTGTTCTCTGTGTCCATGGTGAAGTTCCTCAGGGTGCTCTCGCCCAGTGTAGACAGCTTCTCCTTCATCTCCATGGTCTACCACATCAGACAAGGGGGCGTTTTAATGTATTTACGCAGACCATACAAAATGACTTGGTGTGTCACATCTGGCCCACGGGCCTTGAGTTTGACACCTGTTGTCTACACTCACCTTTCTCTCCCCCCTTTCCAGGATAGCATCAATGTCATCGTCTGTGATCTCGCTCTCTTTGGAGGCGAACACATGCGTGGCACCGTGCCTGATGATGGACAACATTTCGTCCTTCCCTAGTTTGTTGGCGCTTGGATCAACCAGACGTCCTGTGATAGAACGGCATAAAGAAATATATATTTTACACTCGTACAGAAGGTTAAAGAAACACCTGTACGAGCATAAAAAAAAAAATTTTTACACTCATACAGAAGGTTAAAGAAACACCTGTACGAGGGCGTTTTACATCTTCACAGTGGACTAACCCTGCTGAATGACAATGGAGTCCAGACGTAGTTTCATCTCAGCTCTCTCTACGATGCGTTCCTCCACCGTGTTTTCGGTGATGAAGCGGAAGACACGCACCTGCTTCTGCTGACCAATCCTGTGAGCTCGATCCTGGGATGACAGAACAACAACAGTTATTCTTTGCATGGAGAGGAAGGTTAACCAAACAGTTCAAGAGCAAAGTTTTGTTGGAGAACTAACCATGGCCTGCAGATCAACCTGTGGGTTCCAGTCAGAGTCGTAGAGGATGACGACATCAGCTGTAGCCAGGTTGATACCCAGTCCACCAGCTCTGGTGCTCAACATGAAGATGAACTTACTGCTGTTGGGCTCATTGTATGCATTGATGGAGATCTGAAGACAACAACAACAACAGTAAGCACAAATTTATTATTTTTACACTGAACTGAACAATACAATGAATCCAGTCTTTTGATGTTTTTTTTAAATCTTTTTAATCTTGTTTACTTCATATGTTTAAAAAAATGAAGTATAACCTGTCGTTCTTCATGAGGTGTCTGACCATCCAGTCGACAGTAGCCATAGTTCCTCCACATGCAGTAGTCCTCTAAGATGTCCAGCACCCTGGTCATCTGACTGAAGATGAGCACACGGGAACCTAGAGGTGGTCACATAAATTAGTAGGTCATATTTAAGAGCTACGCTTATTTTTTATCAATTCAATTTAATGCGGTAATAAAAACACAAACCTTGTTGTTTCATCTTGGGCAGCAGTTTGTCCAGCACCACCATCTTCCCACTGTTCACCACCAGGTGGAGGTCAGTTGTGTATGGAGGCCCCGGCTCGGCGCCATCAAACAGATAAGGATGGTTGCAGCACTTTCTCAGCTGCATGAGGACGTTCAACAGACGCATCTTGTCCATTTTACCAGCCGAGTTGAGGATGTCAATGTCCTTCATCAGAATCTTTGTGTACCTGATGGAGAGGAAGATGGTTACTACAGCTGTGCTATGACTCATGTTAACACCATGGTATTGTTGCAGGGGCCTAATCAAGACTCAGTGGTAGCAGTAATTGTTGCAGGGGCCTAATCAAGACTCACCACTCCCGCTGCATCTTGCTCAGACCCACATACATCTTGATCTCTTTTTTTGGAAGCAGGGTCTTTTCCACATCAGCTTTAATACGTCGGAGCAAGAAAGGACGCAAAACCTGGGCAAGAAAAAGAAAAAAAAAACAGGTGAGTAGGAAACACTTACCAAACCGAAATGAACAGCAAAATGGAAATGTTCGCGTTAAAAGAAAGGAATTTAAATACGTACAGTGTGAAGACGTTCAACCAACTTTGTGTCGCCCAAGCAGTTGTTGGTGTCAAACCAGGAGTCAAAGTCCTGTTAGGGTATAGAAGGCAACACGGTTTACACTAAAAACAACAAATGTAAAAGCACACGTTTAAGCAACAGTAACGCAGTGAGTCCAGTTTTCACCTCTGCTGAGTTAAAGACATCAGGCAGCAGAAAGTTGAGCAGAGCCCACAGTTCATGGAGGTTGTTTTGGAGAGGTGTTCCAGTCAGTAGCAGACGATTGGTGGTCTTGAATTCTCGCACAATTTCTGACAGCTGTGAGGGAAAAAAAGAGCAAATTTTAGCTCCACTAAAAATACTTCATAATCAAATTTTAGCTCCACTAAAAATACTTCAGCCAATAAATTTAGTGTTTTTTTTTCTGAGACAACTTTTCTATCTGACCTTGGATTTTTCATTCTTGATCCTGTGGGCTTCATCAATAACCAGGTACCTCCAGTTGAATTTCTTAAACACTGCCTTTTCAATGATGAGCATCTCGTATGATGTCACACAGACGTCCCACTCTCCGGGCAGGAGCACGTCTCTGATCAGGGCAGTCTAAAAAAAAAAGAGGCAATTTTAGACTTTAGTTTACTTGACTTGTGACTTCGGTATTTCGGTATTCTTGGCAGCTAGAGCAACTGTGATGTTTTTTGACGTTTGCTTCAACACCACAACCTACCCTTTCATCTCGATCTCCAATCAGGCAGACGGCTCGGAGGGAAGGCACCCATCGTTTGAATTCATTCATCCAGTTGTAAAGTGTGGACTTAGGCACCAGCACCATGTGGGGGCCAGGGATGTTCCTGTAGTGCTTCATGTAACCAAGAAGAGCAATGGTCTGGAGGGTCTTTCCCAAACCCTTTGGAAAAAAAGGTAAAAAAAAACAAACATGGCACATTATAATAATGCCAATGTACAGAATGAACACATGTTCTACACCCAAGAACAGTAACAGCCATTTGATTGTAAGACCCCTACCATTTCATCTGCAAGAATACCATTGATGCCGTTTTCGTACAGAGAGATGAGCCAGTTCAAACCACGGACCTGATAGTCCCTCATCTTTCCTGTCTTCACATCTGAATGGAAAAAAAAGAAAAAAAAAAGTTACCACTGTGTGAATGCAACAATAACTGCTCTAACAGTCTTAAACACCACTGGGGCAGTTGAAGATAATTATACAACAGAAGTAACAGCGTTACTTACAAGAAGGAGAATCGTCAAATCTAGTGCAGACATTTGTAGTCTTGGTGCTCTCATTTAGAAGCTCCTCGTCCTCCTCTTGCTCTGTGCGGCGATGGCGGTTGCTGTCAGACACAAAAGTGTTGCACCATGATTGGTCAGCTTAAAACTTAAATATTATTGAACAAATGCCTGGTACAATTGAAGACATGAACTCACTCGCCAGCTGAGTTATTGAACAAATGCCTGGTACGATTGACTGAAGACATGAACTCACTCGCCAGCTGACAACAGGTTCTGTTTCTCATCTTTCTTGATACGAGGACGTCCAGGCTTCATCTTGAGTGGAGAGGTAGGGGTCTTCTGTGCAGCTGGTTGGATGAAATGAGCAAACAGTTCTGTTTGCTTCAACAGGTACTCAAATCTGTTGGTCCGATCTGTTTGCTGCACAGAACAACATGGACATAAAATGCCTTATTACCTGTTTCTTATAGGACAGAGAAGTGTAGGAGGCAATGTTAGCAAAGTTTTTCTTACAACTTTCTCTTCATAGCCAGGAGCAGAGTCTTTTGATTTTGAAGAGGAGGGGGATGCATCTTGACCGTCTGGGCCAGCATCTGAAGAGGACTCTTTTCCAGCATCTGAAGAATCAGACTTCTCCTAGACAGGCGAGTTACAAAACATTTTTAAATATGTTTTTTCTAATATTTATTTACATCACCAAGAATGTATAAATAGTTGAAGGACATGGGTTTGACTATGATTTCTCCCCTGAATTTATGGATCTGTTTATCATCTCATACATTTTTATACTAGACATATAAAGGGGTGGAGGTGTGAAGCTGGCAGATAATTACAATAACTATATTTTATATTTTTTTTCTAAATAAAATCGTGAAAGGGTTAATGTAAACAATGTGCCCTAATTTACATGGTGAAAGGGTTAATGTAAACAATGTGCCATTTAAATGACATTTTTTCTAATTAGCTCTAAATTATACAAAAAGCTTTTCTTGGCAACAGCCATAAACAACAAACACATTCTGATGCTGGTATTTACACTGTCGTCGACCATAGTGCCGCATACTGCTACATCAACTATCACAAAGTAAACATGTGATCTTGTTTGGATTTTTGTCTATAACAATGGTCAATTAATGTTTCACAGTATTAAACTCAACGAATAAGACAACTAACACTGAACTTTACTGACGACTAAAACTCCGGAATTTACGTCACCAGCAGATGAGCGCTGGCTCACTATCTCTGAAAACAAAGACGCAGATGGGACAGTGGAGCGGCGTGCTGGCGTTTAACTAGTGATGTTATCCTTAGCAGTCTTGCGAAATTAGGCAGCTTATAAGAGGTTTTTACTTCTCAATCTACAAAGAAAACTATTTTATTTTTACACACGTGTATTAGCGGCAGTGTACCTAAGCTATTAGGAAGCGGTCCGGCCTAACTGCTGTTCAACACTGCGCTTCAGTCACCAAGCATTTGCTGTTGGCAGCTAGTGATAGCATCACCGGCTAACTAGCTCCGACAGCTTCAATGAACGTTGTCAAAGTGAAAGTTTACCACAGGTTAAGTTGTGTCCTTTTACTCCAGGGTTGACTGTGGTGGCAGCGTTATTGTCGTTACCGGGTTAGTTGGTATCAAATGCGTCCAGCTTTGGTTGTACACATTACCCGTTTTTGTCCATCTTACCTCTGCCCCTCCGGTTTCTTCAAGTTCAGTCATCTCTTCCCGCTGTTCCACGCAGTTTAGGATATCGGACATTTTCAACTAAATTCCCTGCCCAACGCAGATATACGAGCCTTAAATGGGTTTCTTGTGCTATCCAGTTGATGTACGGTGATTTTTTTTTCTTAGAGAAGTCGTTCCGAGTATAGAAAAATCCTTTAATCTCGTACGATGAAAGACACACCGGTTCGTCAGTCTGAACAGTGGTTAGCTTCTCAGACACCCGCGTTTACAAGGCGCCCGGGTTAGTGCGCTCTGTCGCGAGAACAGACGGTGGTGCATTCAAACATATTGGAAATATCACGATTCATCTGGTTATGACCTCAGGTTTGCGGTTCAACACATTTAACGAAACCTTAGATTTCCAACAAAATCAGACAATAAACACATTTTTTTAACTTTTTGTTTTTTTTAACTCAATTTTGAGTCTGTTTTTTAATAACCCCCCAAAATAATAAAGAAAATAATATGATCATGAAACATTATAAATTCCAAACAGAACATAATTGATTTAAGGAAGCAATTAAAATTCGGAAAATAAATTCAATTTGAATTTTTTCAAATTTATTCCTTTAAAAAGTTACTATTGACAGAGTAAATTTTGAGTCTTGTCTGCTCAAAAAGGCTAAGAAATCCGAGACCTCTGAAGTATGGATTTTCTACGAGTACGTGAAAGTAACACGAAGAATATACACAGACATCTTCGAACTGATAATCTATTAAACTTAAATTTGGATAGCATTTACCCGTTCTATTTAAAAACAACGAGAAGGATACTACCCATAATCTCACCGGTTAAGATAATTATTTTTATCGAGTTATCAGGCAACGTGAGAGCTACCACTGCAAGGGTCCTACCTTCATTTCCGTCTACAGGGATGACGCCGGTGGACCGCTGTCCAGCTGACAGTGAGTGAGCAAACAATTGAACCAAAATAACACTGTTTAGTCTGTCAAAATTCCCTAACCACTCACCGACAGCTGAGGCTTTTCAAGTAGGACAGTGTTGACATGTTTTATTTGGGTAAGTAAAATCAATAACGCCTGTGTACCTTTCTGATCCATCTGTTAGCAGCATTTGTGCTAAGTCAGTGTCTCACCCCGTTTAAATTTTGGGCCTGTTGTGCTACTTTTAATTTGTTTAATTCCTATCAAACGTTAAGAACAACTGCCCAAAATCGGACACCCAATGAAACGTTAGGGATTCATACGTGTAAGTAATCTGACCAGTGGTTAAACGGTGCTTTTGTTTGTGATTGATTAATAGCGTTTTGGACATGGCTAGGGTTAGCAAGTACAGAGTAAACAAAACATTATATGGATTGGTTCCGGATTAAAGTATTTCATTCAGACAATAAGTTCATCTAAATTTGCTATTAATAAATACTGAATATCGCCACATAATGGTCCTTGTTAAAAAAAATTGCGATGCATGCAGCCCATTGGATTGTGATGTTTACTTTGACAGTTCGTGTGGTAATAGCTTCTCCATGCCGCTATTGATATAAAACATTGTGTAGTTGTGATGAAAGAATATGAGTTATTTTAAAAAGGTTTGTGAATATAGTTCTGGAAATTTTGTAAGTAACTTATATATGTCAACAAGGTATGTTGCGATTTGTTGTCTACAGACTGTCATCATGGACAAGATTTTGGAGGGCCTTGTGAGTTCCGATCACTCTGTTACAGTAAAGAAGGCCATTGTCAAGAAGGTAGTGGAAGCAGCAGAGAAGGAGGTGACCGAGCAGCAGTGCCAGGCCCTATTTACTCTCACAACTCGCCTCATACTGCTGGGTGAAGATGCCTTTGAGAAGCAAATTGGCTTGCAGGTTTTGGACGCCTATGCACGCTACCACCGCCCAGAGTTCGAGCATTTTTTCAGTAAAGACTTTGTTCTCAGTCTTCTCCAGCAGGGCTATGGTGAACTGAACCACAAAGATCCAGCCATAATAGAGTACATTCACACCTGCCTTCGGCTGTTAATCAGCTGCCCTTCAGTGCTGGAGATTTTCAGCATAATCCAAGTGGAAGTTTTGAGGATGGTTTGTGAACGTCCAGAACCAGCAGTTTGTGCCCGCCTGAGCACTTTGCTGTCGGACTTTGTGCAATGCATCCCAAAGAACAAGTCGGGTGTTTTGTTCTGCCAGCAGTTGGTCCGGACCATTAGTTATTTCCACTGCTTCTCTAGCCAGGAACAGGAGCTCAGAGAATATGTGGGTCAAGTCACAAAGGTTAGCACACTGCTGCAGAACATTTGGAAGGCAGAACCTACCACACTGCTTCCGTCGCTGCAGGAGGTCTTTGCTATTATATCTTCCACAGGTATGACAGATTTCATAATTCTTGTGGGAATTTATTTGTGATAAAAATAACTAAATGGGAATATTCATCTTTTTTGACTTGTGACTTTGAAATTGATTAATTGGATTTGTCATGTGAGCAATGTTTCATAATATATTTGTATTTGAAAAATATGTAGAATGTTTGGTCTGAATGGTTGGTGCAAAATAATGCATGGTTGATATTCCACAGATCCTGCCTTTGAACCTTCTATTGCTCTGGCCAGCCTGGTCCAGCACATCCCCATACAGATGATCACAGTGCTTATCAAGAGCCTCACCACAGACCAGAACGTCAAGGATGCAAACATGACGAAAGCACTCTGCAGGTAATGGTTTCAGTCATTTCAATTCAGTGATATTTGCTATCCTGAGTCACTAGATAAACAGATGAATTTCCTTTTTTTTTTAAAAAATCTCTAACCATACATTTATAGTTTTTTTTAGAAGAGTCCTTAGTACATCATTATAGTTTTTTTAGAAGAGTCCTTAGTACATCACCTCAATCTTTTCTCCTGTTTTGGTCTAGGATGATTGACTGGTTGTCTTGGCCTCTGGCCCAACATGTCAACACTTGGATCATCGCTCTGCTGAAAGGACTTGCTGCAGTTCAGAAGTTTACCATCCTCATTGATGTCACTCTGCTCAAGATTGAATTGGTTTGTAGCCACAGTTTTGGTGCCAGTTACTCAGCCCTCACATTTATTTTTACCATACTCACACAAATTACACGTGATAGCGTCAGAAATATATTATAAAGCTGTTTAAGGCTGTTTTCAAAGCATAAAAAAGCTTATTTTTACTCCGCAGGTGTTCAGCCGTCTTTGGTATCCAATAGTTCGTCAGGGGGCGCTAGCTGTTCTTTCACATATGCTTCTGAGTTTTCAGCACTCTCCAGAGGCCTTCCATTTGGTAAGAGTTCTCCTTTTATTCCCCATTTATTATTCTGAAGCTCTTACAACATTCCAGGTTTGTGTTTCTTTTATCACAAGCCCAAATGTCTTGGGATGGACCAGGATCTGGCCTAATTTTATGAGAATGTGAAACACAAGAAAAAATAATCATCTAATAATAATCAATCGGATAAAATTAAAACTTCTGTTTTTTCACATCTGTTAGAGCACCGTCTGGCTATTCACAATATTTATATTTTGCAACAACATTGTCCTGACATTTTATCCACTCTTCCTTTATCACTGTCTCAGGTTGTTCCACATGTGGTGCATCTGGTCCAGTCCTTAAGGACAGATGGTCTTCCTACCAGCAAAGCTTTCCTACTGCAGTTCACTGAGCTCATACACTGCATGATGTACCAGTATTCTGGCTTTCCTGATCTCTATGATCACATTCTGGAGGCCATCAAGGTAAAAAAAATGTCTCTCAGTAATAATCAAGACTGCTGAGTTTTAAATATATACATGTCTAATATATTTTTTAAAATATATCCTGTTAGGATCTCCCAAAACCTGAAGAGGAGAAAATAAAAATGGTATTAAACCAAAGTGCTTGGACATCGCAGTCCAACTCGTTTATGTCTGGTTTACTGAGGCAAGCTGGGAAGTCCGAGACAGGCAAGACAGGTCTGGTCAACCTGGGGAACACCTGTTTCATGAACAGCATCATCCAGACCCTCTTCATGGCCACAGAGTAAATACACACACAGACATACACATATTTTATACTTTAATATTTCTATTATAACTGAATGCAAATGTTTTTTTCTCTCAGTTTTAGGAGACATGTTTTATCTTTACACCTGAACGGCTCCAGCACACTCATGAAAAACCTACAGTTACTTTTTGCTATCCTTGCACACACTCAGGTCAGTGATATACTGGTGCAACAGGTGATGAGAAAAAAAAAATTACACCTTATGTAAAATATAACATGCTTCATTGTGTATTCATTGTGTATATGCGTTTGTCTCCGACAGAGGGCGGCATACGCTCCCAGAAACTTCTTGGATGCGTCTCTGCCTCCTTGGTTTAATATGGGCTCCCAGCAGGACTGTTCTGAATACCTCAGGTTTCTTCTTGACAGGTACTTAAAAAGACTGTACTGTGTCGTAATAGTCGGTTTTAATTACAGCTGAAATCAAAATGTGAGAAAAAATTTTGGTCAGTCACTTTGCTTTGAACATTTTTTGTTTGAAGCTGTGTACCAATCAGAATAAATTACGATTAATTGTAACTAATCAATCACGAACAGTCATGAATAATTGAGCTAATCAAAAATTCAAAAATATGACAAAAAAAATACAGTGACAAATAACAGCAGGTAGATTCTGTGTTTCACACCTGTTTTTATTTAAGACTAATCCAAGTGATGGAATTATTGATGTGGAAAATGTCAAGAAATTTTTTTTTGAGTTTCACTACTTCACCTTTCACATGTTATCACACCGGTGTCTCTGAATAAAACACTGATGTCCACTGTGTCCAATCTTAATCCGTAGGTTACACGAGGAGGAGAGAACACTTCAGGCCATTGAATCTGCAAAGCCAAAGGATGCAACAGGCGAACACGCGTGCAGTAATGGACCGACAGGCCAGGCTTCCCTTGAGGAAGGTGAAAAGTTGCCTTTGCATGAGGCTGAGCCCAAACCATGCGATGATGGAAAGACTTTAATAGAAAGGATGTTTGGTGGACGCCTGATCACAGGCATTCGCTGTACGCAGTGCAACAGCATCTCAGAGAAAGAGGAGCCTTTTACAGACCTGTCTTTAGCCTTCTGTCCTGCCACCTCTCAGAATGTCCCTCAGCCTGAAGGCCCCTCCAAGGAGCCTGCCGTTTCATCTCAAGGATGTGTGAATGGTGGCAGTGAAACTCTTGAACCAGGCTCAGCCAGATCCCCAGCTAGCAGTGTCCCCTCTGTGCCAATGACAAATGAGCCTCCTCTCTCTGTACCCGACTTGGTAAACTACTTTCTGGCTCCAGAGACTCTAGATGAAGACAATGCCTATTACTGTGAGAAGTGCAACTCCCTCCAGCGGGCAGAGAAGACCTTGAAATTGGTGTCAGCCCCTGAATACTTGATCCTCACCCTGCTGCGATTCTCCTACGATGCCAAGTGTCACGTCAGAAGGAAGATTCTGGACAATGTTACTATCCCTGCCCTCATGACACTCCCTGTTCACGTTCATGCAAAGTCGGTGAAGTCTCCTTCTGTTGTGCCTCCTTTCCTGCAAACAGAGCCTCCAGAGAGCAGCGAGAATCTGGCTAAAAAACTCAAACCATCTCAAAAGGAGGAGGTGGAGGAGGAGCAGCAAAAGGAGGAAAAGGAGATCATGGATGGTGTGGAGCATACGAGGAGAGAGGAGGAGTTGTCCATCCTTTCTGTACCCTACGTCCTCACATCGGTGGTAATGCATTCTGGGATGTCATCAGAGAGTGGCCACTACTACTCGTATGGTCGTGACATCAGTGGAGTAGACATGGCACAACACACAGCCGAGCAGTTCGTCAGGAAGGAGGATTCAGGGAACGGACAGGTGGAGGCGTGCTCCTCTGTCTCCACCGTTTCTGAGAAAGAGCAGGGAGACAAACAGATAAATAGAGTTCAGGAGGCCGATTGGCTGCTGTTCAACGACAGCAGGGTGACATTCACGTCTTTCCAATCGGTGCAAAACATCACCAATCGGTTCCCGAAGGACACGGCTTACGTGCTTCTGTACAGGAAGCAAGACCTACAAGGACGGGACGAGAATGGGGGGCTCATGGCGAATGGAATGAGCGCTGAGCCGCCACTGCACAAAGAACTGCTGGACGCTATTATCAAGGACAATAAGCTGTATTTGCAGGTAAGTGAAGGTGGACAAAAACAACATCTCGTCCGTCTCGTCGTCCACACTGCAGTCCATGTACATCGTACAAATAGAAAAACACCAGCGGGTTGTTTCATCTCGGAGTAAAGTTTCAAACCATCACTGCAAATACCCCTAAAAAAAACCCACTTTTTTTAAAGCTATTCACCACTTCCACTCTAATGTGTGAAGTTATTGTTAAAGTCAAGGATTTCAGGAGATTCCATCAGGTGGAAAACAGCTGAGAGAAGGCAGACTGCATCCGAACAGACAGCTCAGAGTTTAAGCTGATTTATTTCCGACGGCACTGGAAGACAAATCGGAGCTGTCCTGTTCTAAGATGTGAATTGTAATTTCATGAGTCACTGAGCTGTGCCGCGTTTGCTTGACTTTGCGGGACACTTGCTCATTGCGAGTAAGTAAAGTAAATCGCCTCTAGGGGGTGCTGTAATGATGTATTGTAGAGAGACAACACTGACGCCCCGTCAGTTACAAAGAACCACATCATAGTTAAAGTGAAGTCTTCAGCGTGTGTGTACATGTTTGCTCATTTTACCAGTTTCTCATGTCACCTAATGTGTCACCGTATATATATTTTTTTCCCTGTCAACGTTATTAACAGGAACAGGAGCTGAACGCACGGACCCAGGCCCTGCAGGCTCCCTCATCGTCCTGTTCCTTCAGGCCCAATGGTTCAGATGACAATAACCCACCAGGGAGTTGTGGCCCATCTGGCGGAGGGGGCGGCGGAGGGGGCTTCAGTACCATTAGCAGACTGGTGTTCTAAAATAAACGCGGCAGGAAACTCGCACAAACTGTAAAGGATGGAGTCCTGGACTGCTGCAGACCAGTCCAATTTGTCATGTGACATTTATTTACACGTGACCTCGCGAAGAGCACTGAAGTGTTCTACGAACACAGATCAACTTTGCTGCGTCGGGTCGGAGATCTGATGTAAAAATTGTTTTTATACTACTGCAGAACCATCTTTGAACAACATTTTAATTTATTTGTTGTTGTTTTTTCTTTGTCTTATTTTAGTTATTTTTAACTCATTCATCCAAATGATAAAAAATTACCCAACAACAAACAAAAACAAATCACATTTCATATGAATATTTTTACAATAACAGCCTCAACTATAACTCTAATAATATGAATATTTCACACTGATTTGAAGTTGGTTTCGATACACACACGTTATCTGGCTTTTCTTGTTTGTCTACAAGTGATCTCTCAGGCACAAACATGGATGTACAGTGCAACACACTGACATCAACCACTTTTGTACGATTGTTTTTCTTTATCTCTGGCTGCAAAACGATTGGGGAAAAAAAAAGAAAAAACTGTTTACTTTTCTGATTTGCATATGCAGCTTTCCTACCTGAGCTGTGGAATTGTGATATTTGCGCTTTACGGTGTGACTCATACTTTATAGGTTTCATATCCCATGCAATAAATGTAAATATAATTTTTCAAAAGTCAAATAAAATAGACGTGGAAAGTGAAAACGATTGGAGATTGTTTGAGGTGAAGGTGTGGTTTTAGAATGTTTCTGGACCAGCAGAGGCAGAACCTTTTAACTGCAGGATCAACAGGTAAGTTTGCCTTGGCTTGTCATTTTAATTTATGTTTCAATAATACACTGAGATTTTATTTAATACCTTTTTCTTTTCAAAATCAGAATTCAGCTTTAGTGAATACCGTTTTACTACAGAACAAACATTTTTATTTTACATTAAAGGCTTGATTTAAAATTGTTAAAGCTTTGACATGGTACCAAATGAAAGAAAAAAAGGAAATATAGAAAAATCATGAGACGGTGAAATGCAATGACATTTTCAGTTACTTTTTCATTTGTGGCAAAATTCCTCTTATGCTTGTGTCATTACATTTGCCACTTTTCTATTTCTTTCCAATGTGCTGATACATTTGTTCTTCAACTACACTTTTATCCTGTTTATCCAGGACCAGAGCTTCTAGGAAATATAAATGCTAACTGTATTAAAGCAGAAAATGCTAAAAGTCCTCCCATTTGTTGTTTAAATTGCAAAATACATTTTACACAATTTGAAACCTACAGCATCAAAATGGACTGAAAGCAGAATAAAACTAGATTTATTCTCAGTTCCTACAGACTTGGGGAAAAACCACATCTGTTTTTTTTTTCAGATAAATTATTTGAAAGGCAATGAACTGACACCAAAGCCTAAAGTGGTCATATGGAAAAATCAATATTTCTTAACTAGTCATGTAAAAGGTTACATTAAAGATTAATTTTTTGTCAACCACCAGACGGCCTGGAACAGAAACAATGTTTCATAATTCTAAAAAATTCATGTGAGCCCAGGAGAGGAATGTTTGATAAGAAAGTGAAAGTTTAACATTGTTATTTGTGTTTGTGTGTTTTTGTGTCTGTGCCGGGGGGAGAGAGGGGTCATTATGAGAAACTGGTGTCATTCTCTCTGCCGCCTGTAATTGCTCCTTCTTTTTTCATCAATACTGAGGTTGTTAAAAGAGGCAATGTGCCTGTACAATGGAAAAGTCATTAATCATAGACCAACAGGGAACATCCTTTGGGGGGAAGTGTTTACCATTACAATAGCATTCCAATAAGATTCTTCGGATACCAATCTGAGTCCAGGAGCCACATGGCTTTGCCAGTGTATAAGACCAGATGTAAAATGTTCAATGTGACACTAGTGGAACTATTATCAAACCAGTAGGATGTTATGCAATTAAAGTGCAGATAAAAAAAAAATATAGACACTACTCCATGGGTTCTGTTCCTGCATAGTTTAGTTTAGTTTTTTTTTGTTTGTTTTATTTATTTATTTATTTTTTGTCCCAGCAACGTTTTCATGTTCTTATTGTGTACAGTGGTGACTTGAAATGTCTTGTCCTTTGGTTTAGATTTGCTAAAAAAACTAAACTGAATATTGGTTACATGAGTGGCACTGCATTCAAGTTAATGGTCAGTATAAAGATATAATCTTCAGATAATGAAAGCAAAGGTTGTAATAACAATATTCGCAATAATAATGAAAAATGCTATAATAATTAACATGTCATTAAATAATATTTGGGTTTTCATCCTGGTTTTCTTTGGGATTGTGTTTGGTTCTTTCTATTTCTGTTCTTCAACATACCAGGATTATTTTTTGTTCACTTACAGTTACATCTGGCTGTATTACGTCACAGCTCGTCTATGATTCCGCCCTTATACTCTCGGCTGTCTTCTGGGACCAGACGCGAGGCTTTTGAACTACACGTCCCATGGTTTTTACGGCTTCATAGTTTTCCTTCTAAACCGCCTCCTCGGTCCGCCGTGTAAAGTGGTCGTCAAACAGCAGAAGGTATACTTCTGGTTAGTTTATGAGGACACCTAGGGGACGTTCGGTGTGAATAAAATGTCACGTTGAATAATAAATTGCCCAAAGGAAACGAATTAAACATTGACATTTCCAGGCTAAGACTAAAACAGTATATCAAATTTGATTCAAAATTCAGTTGTTGTCGTGGGTTAATGTTAAACCGGGTATTTTATTTTGAAAGATAAACACGTCAATTTCCGGTCTTTTTATTGTTCGATCTTGAAGCTTGACGCTGCCATCTTCTAGAA